AGTGAAGTTCGATGAAACTGGTAACTTCGGATTGTGACAAACAAAAGTAAAAGATCTGTTGGCTCAACAAGAAATCTTAAAAGCTTTGCGGGCAGCAAAACCAGATGTCATGAAAAATGAAAATTGGGAAGAATTGCAGCAACGAGCGACAGCAACTATATGTCTATGCCTGACAGATGAAGTTATGTATCACGTGATGAATTTAAAATCTCCATGGGAGATATAGAAGAAATTGGAAACCTAGTTTATGGCTAAATCTCTGACGAATGAATTGTATCTAAAGCAAAAGTTGTATGAGTTGAAGTTGCAAGAAGGAGCACGTGAATGGCTTCAATCAAATAATCACTGATTTATCACGGCTTGATGTGAGTATTGAGGATGAAGATCGTGAGTATTGTGTTCACTGTCTTCTTCCTATGAACACCTGGTGACTACTCTTACATATGAAAAAGAAACTATCAAAGTTGATGAGATTACTGCAGCATTGTTGGCTCACAACTAACGAAAACAGAATGCAGGGGAAAGCTCTCATGACGACAGTTTATATGTTAAGGGTAAGCAGGATCGTGGAAGGAAGAAAGAGAAAGAGGGTCCTAGAAGGAGAAATTTCATATCCAAGTCCAAATACAAAAAGACAATTCATTACTACAATTGTAAGGAGTCAGATTATATGAAGAGAGATTGTCCAAAGCTCAAAAAGCAGACTGGGGAGAAAGGTGATGGATCATCGAAGTCTGTAAATGTGGTGCAGAGTGACAATTCAGATTGCAGTGATGACGATTTGCTTTCAGTTTCATTAACTCAGTTCACGGATGCATGGATTCTTGATTCAAAATGCTCTTATCACATGACACCTAACAGAGAGTGATTTACTTCATACAGGTCAACTAGTTCTGGCTCAATTTTTCTAGGTGATGATAAATGTTGTAATATTGTTGGTATTGGAGAAATCAGAATTAAGATGTATGATGACACAGTTAGAACGTTATGTGATATTGAACATATTCCAGATCTGAAGAAGAATTTCATTTCCTTGAGCACTTTACATAGAAATGGTTTGATTCCTAAGACAGATGAAGATAGGAAAATCATCAGAATTGTTAAGGATGCACTAACGGTGATGAAATAAAAGTTAACTGCAGGTAATATCTACAAACTATTGGGGAGTACAGTTTCATTCTGTGGAGTCGAATGATGATAGTACAAAGCTATGACATATGCGTCTGGGTCATCTCAGTGAACGTGGGATGACGAAAGAACGTGGAACGTGGGATGACGAAATTGCATAGAAGAAACCTATTGCATGGTGTTAAAAGCTGCAAGCTCGATCTTTGTAAGTTATGTGTTCTTGGAAAACATACTAGAGTCAGTTTTATGACTGGAACACATAAAACTGAAGAGATTCTTGATTATGTGTATTCTGATGTATGGGACCTACGTCATTGGGAGGATTTCAGTATTTTGTTACATTTATTGATGATTTATCCAGGAAATTTTGGGTGTATTTCTTGAAACAGAAATCTAAAGTCTTCTCCAAATTCAAGCTATGGAAAGCTAACGTGGAGAACCAAACTGATAGAAAGATCAAATATTTGAGATCCGATTTGAGATCCGATAATGATAATGACACAGAGTACACAGATTTACAGTTTCAGAAGTTCTGTGAGGAGGGATTCAGAGGCATTTTTCAGTGCCCAAAACACCACAGCAGAATAGTGTGGTAGAAAGGATGAACGGGTCATTAACTGAAAAGGCAAGATGTTTGAGATTGAATGCAGGACTTCCTAAGAGTTTCTGGGCAGAGACTGTAAATATGACATATTATCTCATCAATAGATCACTCCGGGCATCGTTGAGTGGCAAGATCGCAGAAGAGATATGGACATGTAATCCGGTTAAGTTCGATCATTTACGGATTTTTGGTTGTCTTACTTATGTGCATATACATGGAGATGAAAGATCAAAATGAAAGGGAGATGAAAGATCAAAACTTGATGCAAAATCCAAGAAATGCATCTTTCTGGGCTATAAGAAAAGTGTGAAATGATACAAGTTTTGGGATCCGATTGCAAAAAAGATTGTGATCAACAGAGATGCAGTTTTTGATGAACAGTCCATGTTACAACAGAATCAAGACAAGGTGCAAGGGAACAGTTCCAGTTCAGATGCAGTGCAGATAGATTTAGAACAGCATCTAGAAATAACTGAGAGAGTTGAAGGTTCAAATCCAATACCTGGTGATTCCATTCCAGATGATCTGCAGAATTATAATCTAGTCAGAGACAGACAGAGACATGCCAATATAAGGTCTCCTAGTAGATTGTGTTATGAAGACTTGGTCTCTTGTGCACTTCTCATCTGCAGCGATGATCCAACCACTTTTCAATGAGCTATCACTAGCTAAGATAAAGAGAAATTGATGAGTGCAATGGTTGAGAAGATGAAGTCTTTGCAGAAAAATTGCACATGGGAGCTAGTTCAGCTTCCTGAGAGAAAGAAGGCTATTGGTTGCAAGTGAGTGTACAAAAGAAAACCAATAGTATGAGAAAAAGAAAGGAAAAGTTTAAGGCTCAACTAGTAGCAAAAAGATTTTCACAGTAGAATGGGATAAATTATGATGAAATATTTTCTCCTGTGTTTCTCCTGTGGTCATACACACTTCAATCAGGGCAGTGCTTGCATTAGTAGCCATTTGAGATTTGCATATGGAGCAGATGAATGTTAAAACTGTTTTCTTGCATAGTGATCTGGATGAGCAAATTTACATGGAACAGCCAGAAGGGTTCACTCAACCTGGACAGAAGCATCTGGTTTGCAGGTTAAAGAAATCACTGTAAAGAATATGAATGATGTCTGTGGTTTGAAAGCTTTATTGAGCCAGAAATTTGACATAAAAGACTTGGGTCCTACGAAGAAGATTCTTGGAATGAAGATTTATCGAGACAGAAGCTCAAGATGATTATGTTTATCTCAACGATGTTATGTTGAGAAAGTGCTGGACAGGTTTGAGATGAGCAAAGCAAAATCTGTAAGCACTCCTTTGGCAAATCAGTTTAAGCTTTCTTCAGAACAGTGTCCTAAGACAGATATAGAAATCGAAGATATGACAAAGGTTTCATATGCCAGTGCATTTGGCTGCTTGATGTATGCAATGATATGTACTCGTCTTGATTTGACTCATGTTGTTAGTCAAGTATGCAAATACATGGTTAAACCTAGAAGGCGACATTGGGAAGCAATCAAGTGAATTTTCAGATTGTTAAATAAAGAGATAATCTCTATCAATTTGAGTCATCTAATAGCAGTCAGCAGAATGATCCTTCAGTTGTA